GGTGGGTTGCAGCGATGGGGGCACCCGGCTTGGGCTCGGCTCCCCACTCTGCCCCGCTGCCTGTTGTTGCCCCGTTGGTGTCCAGAGCTGTGCCGGGGCAGAGGGAGGTTATGGAGCATCGGGGTTGGGGTGGGAATCGTGATGGCAGCAGGAATGGCTGCTGGGAGCAGAGGGGGATGCTCGGGGGAACAGGGACTGAGCCCTGCCCTGAGCGAGCCCGCTGCCTGCCCTCTGCCCAGCTGCGAGATCACGACGCGGGAGTACTGCGAGTTCATGCACGGCTACTTCCACGAGGAGGCAACACTCTGCTCGCAGGTGAGCGGGGCTGGGGATGTGATGCTAGTGGCTGGGTCATGCATTGCTGTGCTGATGTCAAAGGGCTTTATAATATCCTACCAGGAATGGGACGTGGTTGGGATGGGTGTGAGTAGGAAGGATGCAAAGTGCAGGGACGTGCCCAGCTATCGGCTGGACTCCTGCTGCCGCTGCGTGCCTGCCTTGCTGGTGTGGGGCAGGAGGAAACGTAGGACTTGAGCCAGCTTCACATGGGAAGCACCGGTGTCCTTGGGGAAAGCACATCCTGGGCAGGAAAACGGCCCTCCAGCATCTCCTGGGGTACTGGGGATGCTCGGTTGCTCCCTCCCCAGTACCCGGGCAGTGCCGGTGCCCCACACCCCCCAGGGTCCCCCCCCACAACTGACACGTGGCATCGTCAGTCACACATTCCCTGTGACCCATCCTTTGCTCCCTGTGGCTCTGGGGTGTGGGCCGGGCCCCCGTCGCCCCCCCAACCCTGCCTGCCTTTGCAGGTGCACTGCCTGGACGAGGTGTGCGGCCTCCTGCCCTTCCTCAACCCAGAGGTCCCCGACCAGTTGTACCGCCTGTGGCTGTCCCTGTTCCTGCACGCCGGGTGAGCCACGGACCCCCGCACCCCCAGGGGATGGGGGGTGACTTGGGACCGGAGTATCCATTGGGATGGTCTGTGATCCCCGAAGGGTTGGGAGAGAAGAGGGGAGGACACCCCCTGACTACAGGGACATGAGCCATCGGTGGAGGGTGTTTTATAAGATGTCTCGTGCCCCGGGGCAGCAGGTGGGAGGGCTGGGCAGGGGCTCGGGCCAGGCAGGGGTCTCTAATGCAAGGTGTCTCCCCCCAGCATCATCCACTGCCTGGTGTCGGTGACTTTCCAGATGACAGTGCTGAGGGACCTGGAGAAGCTGGCGGGCTGGCATCGCATCTCCATCATTTTCATCCTCAGCGGCATCACGGGCAATCTGGCCAGTGCCATCTTCCTGCCGTACAGGGCGGAGGTGAGGGTTGGGGGGCACTCTGCCTGCATCGCCCCGAATCCAGCCAGCTCCCCGGGGACCAAAGGACACCCCTCCCCATCCCTGTCCTGGAAGAGGTTTGGGGAGGGGGCTGCAGCACAGAGCTCTCATCCCCCGGCAGGTTTTGCTGAGGGTGGGGGTGGGAGGCTGGTGCCCCCGTGGCGGGGGGGGGGGGGGGTTTCTGCCCCACGTGTGGAGTTCGCACATGCCGTGTGGGTCACGCGTCGCCACGTGTCTGTGTGCGTGCGGGGTCCCCGGGCGGGCAGATGGCTAATCTGCTGGCAGCAAACCCTACTGGGCTTTAAATGAGATCACGCCGAGCGCCCTAATCCCTCTGGGGGTGTGTTGGGACGGGGCCGGAGGGCTGTGACCTGGGAGGGGGGAGATGCTGCCTGGCTGCTGAGTCATGGAAAGTACCGGCTCTGCCAAAACAGCACCGGCATGCTCCCCTCCTCTTCCTCCTGTGCCAGGGCTCCCACCCTTGAGCCCCACAGCAGCGTGAGTGCAGCCCTTGGAGGGTTGCAGGAGCCAAATGCATTTTGCAAGGGGAGGAGACGGTCCCTGGGGACACGGGGACGTGTCTGGGGTGACGTGCGCAGGGTCTGGCCATGACTTCCCCCATCCCTGCAGGTGGGCCCTGCTGGGTCCCAGTTCGGCTTGCTGGCCTGCCTCTTTGTGGAGCTCTTCCAGAGCTGGCAAGTCCTGGAGAAACCCTGGAAAGCCTTCCTCAACCTCTTCGGCATCGTCCTCTTCCTCTTCATCTGTGGCCTTTTGCCATGGATCGATAACATCGCTCACCTCTTTGGCTTCCTCAGCGGCCTCCTCCTCTCCTTCGCCTTCCTGCCCTACATCACCTTCGGCACGGTGGACAAGTACCGCAAGCGAGCCATGATCATCGTCTCCTTGCTGGTCTTCGTGGGGCTTTTCGCCTCGCTGGTGGTCTGGCTCTACGTCTACCCCGTGAACTGGCGCTGGGTGGAGTATCTCACCTGCCTACCCTTCACCAGCAAGTTCTGCGAGAAGTACGAGCTGGAGCAGGTCCTGCACTGACCCCGCCGGCAGGGACGGGGCTGGGAGAGGCACTGATGGTGATGCTTTCCATGGGGTGGGTCTTCACCAGCCTGCAGGAGATGGATGGGGCAGACCCTGGGCACGGCTTCATCCTTGGGGCTGGTGGGTTTGGGCTTACCCCTGTTAAATGCCAGGGATGCAGTGGAGAGTGGGGCTGGAGCCACTCTGCCTTGCACCCCTTTGGGGCTGCCTCTTGGCACTGAAGAGCCATAACTGGTTTGGGGACCGACCCCAGCTGTTGCCTGTGTGGGGAAAGGGCCGAGGGAAGTGGGATTTTGCTACGTCCACGGCCAGGCTGGGCTCCCAGCCCTGGGGCAAGGGGCCTCGAAAGCTCCTGGGAACGAAGCTACCGAGGTCTCCTGCCTGTGCCCCTGCCTACCTGGGACCCCATCCTGCCTCGGTGCCCCCAGGTGCTGCAGCTCATACTGTGAACACAACCCCCTTTTTTGCAGGGGCACTTTTTTTTATCTGCAGTTCTTTAGGCCGAGGGTTTCCCCCACTTTGGGGTCCCTGGAGCCTCTGCTGTGGCTCTGTGGTGTTCAGAGCTGAGCTTTGAAGGTGTTTTTCAGTCCCACTCTCAAATCTGATGCTCCCCTGAGGCCACGGAAGGAGGCTTGTGCTTTCCCACCTGGGTTCCTCACTGGATGAAGAGGCAGGACTCGGGCTAGGGGAGCTTCTTTTCCCCTTATTTCAGTGAAATTCCCTTTTTGGAAGCAGAAGCGGCACGTACTGTGTGTGTAGTGCCATGCTGGGAGGCAGGCATGGAGAAAAACACCCTGGGGGGCTTGTGTGGCTGTTCCTGAAGCCCACAGACCCCTCGGGAAGCTGTCAGTGCTCCCACCTTTCACGTCTGCCTCAAGTCCCTGCTGTTACCCCTCTCCCTTTTTCAAAGCGTAGAGACCCAGGTAACCCCCCCTGCCTCAAATGGTGCTGGACAGATGGAGAAGCGCAGGATGGGGCAGTCGCCTTCCCCCTTCCCTGCCCGAGGCCGCACATCCCTGCCTGCCCCCAGCCCTGGGCTGCTGCTCCCCAGCATCTCCTCCTCCCTCCCACCGGCCGCAACACGAAGGCAGGTCCTTCCCGGGGTCCGGGTGACTCCTCTGGGCTGGTTTGGACCCAGGCTGGTGCCGGGCTGTCTCTCCCCTTGTAGGTGTTGCTTTGGTGTTGGTGGGTCTCAGCGCTGTCAAATGGGGGAAGGTGTGAATCCCTCTCCTGGGATAAGTATTCAAGGGCTGGGAGCTCAGCTCCCTCTGTCCACATCTGCTCTCCAAGTGACCCCAGGAGATCTGTGGCACCCTCCCTGTGTCCCTCCCTCCACCATGGCCAGTTTTCAGCCCCTCTCTGACCCTCTGGTGCTGCTCCAGCCAAAGACAGACACTTCACCTCATTTGTCTCTTTTTGATACTTTTTTTAAAAGCTGTGGGGTTTTTTCCCTCTTAATAAATTTCTACCTGTATTTAATGAGACACAAGGCCTCTTCTCCCTTCTCGGGTACAGGGATGCAGCACTTTTAGGGGTTCTGGTTGTTCTGGTGATGGTTGGTGTAACAGGGAGAGAGGCAGAGATGGGAGTGCCTGGGGCGGGTGCCCTGATGAGCAGGGCTGCACTGTCCCCGGTACCCCTCAAGCCCCTCCCTGGGAGGGCGGACAGGGTTTGGAGGGTCTCAAGCAGAAGGGGAAGCCAAATGCCTGGAGCAAAAAGGCCCATGGAGCCTCCTGATCCTGCCCAAGGGCAGAGCCCCCTCCACCTATATCCCACCCTTCATCGAATGATCCCGGGCTGGATTTGCTCCCTCTCTCCCAAAGCTGAGATGCCCCAAGGGGGGTGTTGGATGGCTCCTGTCCTGCCAGCCAGTGCCTCCCCTCCGGCTGTTGTGGCGAGGTGACAGTCGGAGCAGGGTAGGAACGCACACGGGCTGCCTAGAAAACCACCACCACGTCTTTATTTGCTGTTTCACAACAGCCTTAACTGTTTGCAGAAGGCTCGTCCTGGCCCAGTCGTGGGTCTGGGGTAGGGACTGGTTTGGACTGGACCCCAGGGAGGCTCTGCATTGTGTGGCTGGGGGTGGCTGTGGGCTGGGGTTGTTCTCCAAGGAGTCTGGAAAGATGTCTGCGGGCAGGGGGGCGGCTGCTGGGAGTCCTGCCTGGTCTGGGGGCTGCTCAGGGAGGGCTTGGCTGTGGTGTGCTTCACTCGTGGTGTTGGTGGTGGGAGGGGGTGCAGGGCTGGGGGCACATGTACGTACGGGCTCTGCTGGGTGTCTCAGCAAAATGTGGCCGTGAGCGCCCTTAAATCAGCAGAGACCCCCCCCAGCTGCTCCTTTCCATCCCTGGGGGGCACACGGCCCTGCAGCCCACCCAGGCTTGCTGGCACAGCCGCAGTTAAAGTGGAGACTGGGGGGATCGGTGCTGCCAGCGGGGCCAGGTGGGAGATTTCTGTCCCCAGCCCTGCGGATCTGGGATGGGACCGGGCTGATCTCCTGGCTGGAAGGCAGACGTGGTAGAGGGAATAGCTGTAGCCAGGGCCGGCTGCGGGAGGTGTATAGCTGTGGTGGGGATGGAGAGGGGTCACTGCCTCTTATCCCCCCCCCTGCAGCCTCTCTCCAGCCCCCCCCCCGGCAGGGCTGGACTTGAGGGGGCTCAGCAGCCGCTGTTCCTGCGCATGAAGGCATGTCCCCGCACAGGATGCTGCATCTCGATGAAGGCCAGCTCCCCCACCGTCACCTCGCAGGGACCCAGCGCCTCGAACCCGCACTTCTGGTAGAAGGGCACGAGGAAATCTTCGCACATGAGCAGGGCACGCCGGGCGAAGGGCAGGCACCGCAGGTACTGCAGGTACCGCCACATAAGGATGGAGCCCTTGCCTTGCTGCCGAAAGGTGCGATGCACGGCCAGCACGTGGATGTGCACCGCCGTGCCCCGCGGCTTGTGCAGGGTCAACGCCTCCTGCCGAGGGGGGAGCGGGGGTTAGTGTGACCGGGGGGGGTCCCATCCTGCATGTCTCTTGGTTCCCCATCCCAGTGAACCAGGGTCCACATCCTCCCACCAAGGGAAAAGGGTCCTGGTGCCATCCCCCTTCACCTCCCCTCATCATCCTTGGAGGCTTTTTAAGTTTACGATGAACGTTGAGGGGCGTTACTTGGCATATTTTTTTAACAGCATCGGTAAAATTAATTAATGAGAAAGTTAATTTCCACCAGAGCAGCCCTGTAGCAGTTGGTCTTGGGAGAAGACTTGGTGAGTGGCCTCAGGGAGCTTCTCCTCGTCCCCAGGCTCTGGCAGTGCCTCTCCCAGTGTGCAAACTGGGAAGAACAGGGTCCGGCTCTTACCTGGCTGAGCCTCTCCTGGTCCCAGAGGGAGCCGATGATGAATGCCACGAGCCGCCCTTCCTCAAACCAGCCAAGGGAGAGCTCCGGGCACAGGTTCAGAAAGTGACGGATCTCATCCAGGTGGAGGGGACAGTCCCCGGAGACAGATATAAAGGCTGGAGGGGGACGGCAGTGAGCGCAGCGATGGGAACCGAGGACACCCAGACCCAGAAAACCCCCCAGCACCGATGTAGTGGGGGGAAAGCAGGATGTGATGAGGAGAGATGGCATGAGTCCTGCTGCCTACTTGGCCTAAAGGAGCTCTAAGGGACATGGGTGGCTCCAGGGAGCAGCTCCGCTCCTCCAGAGGCAGCCCCCCCTGGGACCCCCACTCTCGTTGCTGATTTCAGGGCTACAGCAGCAGGTGCTGAGATGAACCTTCCTCCTGCCCGGCATCTACCCGGCTGCCCTTGCCCTTTGGAGAGGAGGGAGAAATGGGCTGGTGAGTCTGGGTGAGGGGACCTGGGGGTGCCTGGGATGGACGGGATGGGGGACGTTGCTGGGGGTGTATCTCAAAGTGCCCCTCTGCAATAGGAGGCTGAGCATGGTGTCCATCCTCCCACCTTCCCCCTCTCCTCTCTGCTCACCTCTGGCAGGACTGTTTTGGGAGAGCTGCTCCCTATTTACCTGGTCCTGCTCCAGGATCACCTTCCACCATCCCCACCCCAGGCAACTGGGTAAGCTGGGGGCCGTAGTTCCCCATCTCCTTAATCATGGCTTCCCCTACCTCATTAAGGAGCTTGTGGTGGCCAGGCCACAAGTCATGGCCTCTGGCTCCCTCCCTCATCCTCCACGAGGGCATGCACGGGGGTTTTGCCACCACGGTGTGCCCCCAAGGAGCATGAGGGACCGGCGAAGGAAAGGGACGGGCATCTCCAGTCGATGCCACCAGGCAGGACCTCCCCGGGGCAGCCCCTTACCTTCCCGCTCGATCTCAAACACGCTGATGGCATCCTCGGGGCTGAGGCAGCGAAACTCACTGGCGGGCAGTGTGTGGCGGCGCTGGCCCCCGAGCGAGCTTCGGGGGGACCTCAGGTGAACGGGCTTCAGGAAAGGCAACGCGCTGAGCGCCGACATCCTCCTCCTCCTCCTCCTTCTGCCCGGCTTCCCACCGCTCCCTCTGTTCGGGGCAGCCTCTGCCAGCTCCTGGCCCCGGCAGCGGCACGGCACCCTTAATTTCAACCAATCTCCTCCGGCGCTCTTAGCTGCCGAAAATACCTGTTGGTCACGCACAGGATTAGGCTGCTTGCCACTCTTTTCCTGTACATATGTGTGTATATATATATATAGCAAATACCCGCCCACAGTGACCCCATTATCGGTCTGCTGTCACTGCGAGCTGGGGCCAGTGCAGGAGCCTGGCACCAGCCGTGGGCTGTGGCAAACTTGTGGCCCCAGGGATGTGGGGGACAAAAACCCGGTGACCAGCTGCCAGCATCCAGGCAGTGGGACCGAGCAGGGAGAGGGGCTGTTAGAGATGGGGCTGAGCATCCTGCTCTGCCATCCTGCCCCGCATCTCCCGACCCAGCCCGTGGCAAAGCCAGGCAGGAGAGTCCAGGGGCAAGTCTAGCCCCTGACCTGGGGACAGGCGGGGTGGGATGTGGCTGCCAGAAGCTGGGAGGCTGCAAAACAAGCATCACTGAAAGCTCTGTGTGATGTTGCATGGTTGTACGTGAGTAAGAGGTCAGTGCCGGGCCACTGTACGCACGCCCCCAGCACGGACACGTCAGGCAGCCAGATCTACCTCCCAGAGACAGCCCAAGCTGCCGGGATTTGCTCCCTTTTTCCGGCTCGCTTAGTGGGTAAGTGACACAGCTTAGCCCCCATTGGGCTCTTAGGTCCCATCCACGCTCACAGATGTAGCTGACATGGGTCAGTGGTGGGACAAGTGGGTGCCTGTGGCTGCAAACCTCAAGTGTCCTCCCAGGGTGAGGTGTCCCCAGGCTTTGTCCCCTGCCCTGGGAGCTTCAAGCAGCATGATCCCACCAGGCACAGCCCGTCGTGGGACATGCCACCTGCGATGCAGAACCTCAGACCCCTCGGTTCCCCCAGGTGCGTCACCAGCACCAGAGCTCATCTGACAGTGCCCATCCTGCACAGCCTGGCCAAATCCCTCGACCTGGATCAGAGCCTGTAGCTTCAATCTGCCTCTAGTTTCACGTGTGAGTGAACTAAGTTAATAAATCCAGAGGGAACCACAAACTGAGTGAATAACTTTGCTAAGCACATATGTCCCGCAGGCAGAAATAGTGGGAATTGCTCCCAGAGCTGTCCATCCATCCGTCCCTGCTCAGCCCAATATTCAAGCAATTTGCAGCAAAGCCAGTACGAAGCCAGGTCATTTTTGATTATTGTTTGAGAGGTGCCGGCTTTCCCTGCTAATTATAGGCTTGCCTCCAGCTAATAGGATTTATAGAAACAAAAGCATTACCAGCACAAACACTGTGCAGGGCAGAACCGGCGCAAGCTGGGAATTTTCCATCCTGAAATGCCGAGGGCTCGGTGCTTGAAATGCCTGTTTTATCCAGTGCAAGGTGAGACAGCATGGTGTTCTGATTTATTTTCAATGAATTGCTGGTTTGGCAATGGATGTATATCTAAGGGATCTCGTGTCCATCACGGAGAGGGGGTTTCTTTGGTGGGGGAATTATTTTGCATCCCCAATGCTCATTCTAGTCACCAAGGACTAACTGAAATGGTGCTGGGAATGGGTGGTTCATGCTTCCAGAAACCATGTAGGAGGGAAGTAAAGGGGTGGCCGAGCTGGAGGGGAGAGCGGGGTGCTGGGGGGCTTGTAGTGTTTGTAAAGCTTATTATCAAATATTCTGGAACTCCTCATCCTGCTAATTGGATTAGGGACTCATCCACCTGGATAAATCCCAGAGCAGGCAAGAGGGTAGGGTCTGGGCACCTAGAAAATGCAGCGGTGGTTTGATCCTGGGCAGTGCTGAGCACCTGGGGCAAGTTCTGGGGATGCTGCAGGATCAGGCCCGGGGATGGCAGGGCAGAGTGGCCAGCTGAGTATGGCCTCAGGTAGGGGTGGTGTTTCAGCTGCTGTGGGAATTAGGGAGCAGGATCATGGAATCATAGGATAGTTTGGGTTGGAAGGGACCGCTAGAAGTCATCTAGTCCAACCCCTCTGCAATGAGCAGGGACATCCTCAACTAGATCAGGTTGCTCAGGGATGATAGCTACTGTTAAACAGTTTACTGTCCAAGAGCAAGTCTTTATCCCAGATCATTAAAAGGCTGAAAAGGACTGAATAGTGGAAAGTCTCTACAGGGACATCCACAGAGCTGGGGGGTTCAAGACCTCTTGTGCAAGTGGCTGCTCCATTCCCATTAGAGATAACTTGGAAAGGGGACTTGGATCCCTCTAGCTATTTTTAGAAATTTCTTGGGACCCCAACCAGCAACAGCCCGGAGCAGAAGTCGCTGATGGGGAAAGGCTGGTTTTTGTCTTGTTTTCCTTGTATTATTTCGCCTCCGGCACTTTATAACCTGGCAAGCCAGGTTATACAGCTGAGGGCTGACACATTTGTGTTTATTTTCTGGAAATGAACTTCTTCCTTTGCTTTTCAACTCCCTGCAGATGCAAAGGTCTTCTGGGGTGGGGGAGATACATAGAGCCTGCAGCGCGCAGAGGAACCGGCCGTCCTCCCCAGCCCATCCCCAGAGCCGACCCCGGGCCCTGCACAGCCATGGGGGTACCAGCACTGCTCTTACTCCTGGGAAGCATCCCCACCTGCAGAGGTGAAGGAAACTCGCCCCAGGTCACAGAGTAAGTGAGAACCAGAGTGAGGAGGAAAGCCCTCTCTCCCTGGCTCGAGACATCTGTCTTCCAATGCTCCAGCACAGCCTTCTGTATATTGTTCAAGTCACTTATATCCTAGACTAAATTTTGTGCTGTTAACTCCTTACCAGACCTGCCTGAGATGAGCCCAATACATTTGTGTGTATGTAGCAGCATACCAAAATTCTGCTCTGTAAGTTTTCCCCCCACTTGTGTTTGTGCACTAGAGATCAAAGCATCCACATGGTCCACAGAGATGCTCGCATGTAAGTAAACAGGCAAGTCCACAGTATCCCCCTAACAGCATCTTTTTATTATGTTATGAATGTCTGCCTGGATTTGGAGCTTGAATTTTTAAATGAGTTGGTAGTAAGGAGTTATTCACCCAGTTCTGAAGCCAAATATTCTTTGCGAAAGAGCTCAAGTTCTTCCCACACCCTGAACACGCAAGGTTTCAGTGAGAAGAGTCCCTACACCCAGGTTTTGATAGTATGTGTTGGAAATGTAGGGATGGGACAGGGGTTGTGATGAGTCACGCTCTTTCCTCCACCAAAGTCACTTTTCAGGCAAGCTAAGCTGCATGCACCAACCTCCCTCCCCTCTGGGGCAATTCCCCCCCATTCTGGGATACTGGGGCTGGCAAGTCACAGTGGCCTCGGGACCACCAGCTGTCCCCAAGGCTGTTAGTACCACCGGGATGCAACAGAAACATGGGTGCTTACCGAATGGGGACCCCACGCTGCTCCTCTGCCTGCCTGGCTCCGGTGGTGCCGTCTTGCAGCTGGCAGGAGAGGAGGACCCGGGGTTTTGCCTCCCCTCCTCTCTCTGCTGCACCCTCCACAGCCCCTGCTTATATATATTTATTTATGGAGCACGTGATGACATCCTAAGGAGTTTATAACCCCGATGAAAGACAGGGAGAGGTGAGAGGCTTTAAGGTGACAGGCCAGAAAAAGGATCCCATCAGGCTTCTTCTCCCCCCCCCGGCGTGACTGCCTGCAGAGGGATAAAGCATTTAGCTGATTGCTCTGCACTGAGTCCCTGCTGTGAGCGGGGCAGGGAGAGCAGAGGACTTAGCTAGGAAAGGAGAGCAATGTACTGTGCCTGATCCAGACCTCTCTGATGGCACTGGGAGCCCATAGGAAGATGAGGGCAGATGAGCTTTCTTTGCAGCAAGGATGGGGGGGCTGCTGGTTGTGCCAGGCGTGATCATGGCTTGGGCTTGAGCAGCGGGGAGTTCCTCACGGGAATTGGCTGGCTCCTTATAGGTTGGGGGGCCAGACCTAAGGTTTCTGCCCCAAAGATCTTACTCCAAAGACCAAGCATCTCTCCCCTGTGCAGCCCTTGGTCCGTGGGAGCTATTGCATAAGAAACTGGATAGGCAAAGCCAGCAATATTTGTTCCCATCAGGACATGTGTAATAAAAGGAGGATTATCTCAGGCATGAGCATGATGTTGGCATCATCATTATCATCATGAACCAGATGCAGCCCTGAAAGAAGCCCGGAGCAGGAGGCAGGGCTGGCCTTGCTCCACCGGAGATATTTCCAGGGGAGTTCACACCTGCTTTATTTTCCAGCCATGGGCAAAGTGACCTGGGGCTACACACTTATCTCTCTCTTCTAAGTTTTTTTCATGGATTTGAAACAGAAATACAACCCAGCAGCTTTCTGCTCTTCAGAAATGGCATTTCAGAGCAATTCCCAGCCATTACAACTGAGCCCAGCAGAGCAGAGGCTGGCCCGTGGCTGGAATAGTCAAGCAGGGATGCTGCTCTTGGTGCTGTTAACTGGGTCTGTCTCTCCCTGCTCCTGCAGACAGAGGGTCAAAAATTCCATTAAACTAGAACCACAGCAGTGTGCTGAGATTTACATATTTAGCAGCTCACTCAGCATCTTCAAAGAGCCCCAAGCTGTCACTCTGGCCCCACAGCCAGGCTGGTCCCTCTGTTGGGGTGCCTGCTCAGGAAGATGGCGATTATTTCTGGGTAGGATTTGCAGCGAGGGGCGACACGTGGGAGGCAGATGAGTCACGACTCGTCCCCCGCTCTGCCAGGACTTGGGAATGAAGTGACACACATGCAGCCCAGGGGCTCCTCAGCTGTGCCGCTCTCTGCCTCCATCCCCACCGCCACAGTCTCGGGTTATCCTGGTGCTCAGGGGGATTAAGCTGGTTTTGGTGGCTGCAGCCTTCACAGTCCCTTGGCCTCAAGGGTCTGCCATCACAAGGGACACAGGTGGCATCAGGGTCGTCCCCCGTGTGGCACCATCAGGGAGGTTTCTCTCCCA